AAAGCTTTAAGCTCAGCTAATCTCATGTTAAGTTAACAGTGCTTGGCTCTGTTGACTTTTCTGTTATATAAATCAAAAATGCAACCTAAATCTCTATTTAATATTTGTAAAGGCAGAGATGGAGTGCACCTAAAATGCTAAATTTCAATGCGATGCTACTTTTTATTAACTATTTAAATATACATTATTTACTATGTTCTGCCGTATGCTTAATAATATCAAGTATACGACTAATTTAAAAAATTTAATATTTTTCAATTAGAATTACCAAAATTGTTGTAAAATTAATTGTACAAATTAATAAATTTCCATATTCCCCCAAAAGTAAACTATAAATGCATTGCAAAAAGTGCACAATTGGCCCACAGTGCAGGGCATTCAATTTCTTTGAATATTTTAGTTAGTCTTTCATTTTATTCAAAGTTGTTCCTTGCTTTTCTTTTTTCTTATGCTCACATGTTAACAAATTACATGAGCACTCGCTCGACTGCAAGCAGGCGTGGCCAAGTAGACAGGGTCTTTGGCATTTAGACAGAGATGATAAATTTGGAGCCGTGTGACAAGAATCAGTGTCAAATATGTTGTCATTTAATTTCGCACTCACATTTAAGGCCGCCTGAGAATGTCAGATCTGTGAAAATGGTAATAAGCTTTTCCAATCTCTCTCTCGCTATCGCACACACTCGCACACACAACCGAGCTGCGCTGCATATTTAAATTGTTGTTTCACGCGTCGACAAAGTTGAATTACTTATGAATTTTCCATTGTGCGTCGGCTTTTTGCTCAAACGTCGCTCGCCTTGCGCTGTGGCAGACTCTTGGGCGCAACTTTAATTAATCAGCATGTTGAATTTGAAACCACGAAACGCGGCTCCGAACATAAGCATTTATCAAAGCTACATGATTATGCGCCTAATGGGCAGGTATAGCCAGTCAGCTGCGGTGGGCGTGGCAGCTAAAAGAACCAGAAATACCTGGCTGAATGGCTGGCATAGACAAGGCCGTCGCCGGCCCATCCCTATTTCAGCCTGGCATATGTGACAGAGACAGCCGCAGCCAGGCAGGGCGACAATGTCGGCGTAAAAACCGCAAATATGTTTTGTCGTTGTCGTTGTTGTTGTTGTTGTTGTGTCTGCCTGGCTGAGGATAGACGGCACACATTAGAAGCAGCAGCCGCCCGCGCCAACCGCCGTTGACAATGGAACTTGTCTTTTTAATTAAATGCTAAAAGAAAATGCTAAAGATAAATGAAGTTGTGCTAAATGCGTGCTGTGCGTGTGCGTCCACAGAAACCAGGCAACAGCCGCAGAGTGTAAAAGTGTGTGTGTGTGTTTGTATATGCTCATTGCTGCTTGCCTGCCTGTCTGTCTGTTTGCTTCTAACGGATTTCAATTATTTTATACCGAAATGTTCTGCTTTTGGGGTTTCAGTGCTGCTGCCACGCCCTGCTACCAAGCATTCGTCTTATTGAATTATGCCTAGGGTAGTCCCTTAAGTGCCAGCACCATCAACAGTTAACCAGCAGTGGCCCATAATGTAATGAATTGGCATAGTTTCGGCATAGGTAACAACGTCTACAGTGGGACACAGACATTTGGCTACATGTATCGAATAGCAAAAGCTTAGAATTCTGTTGAATTCCACTTAAAAGTTGAATGCTTTTCTCTATTTAAATTTAAATACTTCAAATCTCATCAGCTCGCATAGCATTTATAAGTCCTGAACTCTAGTCGATGCTGTCAAACTGCAAATGCCCAATAATCCAAGAATCTTATAAAAATAAAAGCAAAATGAAACGAAATAAAGTGAAATACAATAAAATTGTTCGACTGAGCAAAATCCCAAAATTGTTTTGGCATTTGTAATCGCTGTTCAATAATTTTCGACCATTTTATGGCCATGGCTTACTGTCGCCCGCCCACACACACACACACACTCTAGCTTACAAGTGTCATGTTTTAAGCGTGCACAAGCAGACAACAACAACAACAACAACAATAACTTGAGGCAGCTACAACTAAAGTTACATTGGTTTTAGTTGGAATCTGCTGGGGCTGTGGCTGGGGCTGCGTGAGGCGTTGCTGCTCCGTCGCTTGCAGATCAAATTAGATGTATAAATAACAAACCGATTAAGCGATTGTGCGTCTAAGCCAGGCCAGGCCACAACGAGGCCAGCACACGCAAGTGCGTCCAACAATCCTTGGAGTGTCATTCGCATCGAGTGCCTGTCGAGAGCTGCTGGAATGGGGCCACACATTTTATTGCCTGGGCGGATAACAGGCGCCCGGCAATTGTTGTGCGGCTCATTTGGATTATAATTGATGTTAGCCAATGCAAAGGCTTCAATTGCTCTAAGCCTGGCCAAGATAAGCGCAAATCTAACGCGACAAACTGCTTTTGCCACAATTATCTTGCGCCAATGCGCGTTCATCAGCTGAGCACTGGGAGTCTGTGAGTTGGAGTTTTCAAACTGCGCCAAACTCAATTTTCAAGTTCTTTAGCAGCGTTGTGAGAGCATCAAATATACTAAATGTATATGAGCCGTAGGGTAAGCTACTTTTGAACAGCTTTCTTAATACACTGCACAAGGAATTATTCTTTTTAAGTCCTTGTAAATATGTGAAAGGATCTTTCTTTATACATTACCATTACTTTTGCTTAAAGAATTCATAATAATTTCGCTTAACACTTTGAGTAGTATTACAAATATTATTTGATGAATGATAGAGAAATTGTTGATACTAACCTCTTTTCCTTTCTCTAATTGATATCCTCTCTTGAATATAAAACTAAATTTAAATCCAATTTCAATTTCATAATCTATGAACCTCGCTGTTCAGGTCCCAGCATCCTCATCCTCTATACTGACTCCATCTCAATATATTTAAATATAAGTAGCATATTCAACAGTCTTCTAGCATCATCTTTACTACGTTTTATTTAAATGCCACATTTTTTTCATACGCTTTGACGCTTGAAAATGCTTTCGTTTTATTTGTCGCCCACGCGGCGTATGATGAATTTCAGGCGCAACGCCTAATCAACTGCAAATGAAATGGACAATTGTTCAGCGGTAGGTAACCACAGGCATCGATACATCAAATCGACACCACACACGCACACACACACACACACAGAGATGTTACATGGCTGAGCATTTGGCTTGCGTTTCTTGTTCGTTTTGTGCTTTTGGCGTGGAAAATAAATTGCGCTGGCTGTGTTTGGGCCCAGCAAATCCGCTCATTGCCATTTTGGGCTGTTGTTGCCGCCACATTGTTTGCTCTAGTGTTGCTGTTGTTGCTGTGCAGCTTAATAACCATTGTCCGACCGTGCTTCACGTGCTCAACGTGGGAGCTATAAACTGTCATTTAAGTTGTTGTCGATGTCATTCTCTTGGCTTTGCCATGGCCATCGTTGCTGTTGTTGCTTGCGCCAAGATTTGTAGCCAACTTTCTGCAGTCGCAGGAAAAAAGAAAATATAGAAACGAAAGTGAAAGTAAATGTATTTATGAGCCAAGACAGCCAACGGGTGGTCGCCATGGACACGGGCAAAAAACACTCCAGAGTGAAATAAACAACGGCTCAATGTGTGTGTGAGTGTGTGTATTTATACAACTGTGAACCGTGATGTATAAGCACTTTATATAAGCATAATAGGCTTACCTGCCAAATAGCTAAACAGAAAAAGTAATTGTTAAATATCAGCACAATCCTTTATAAGTTGCAGCAGACAGATACGAACAGCTATTGGAAACTATTTGAATTATTTAGCAACACTGTGCAACAAATTTCAATTTTTTTTTTATTCATTGAGTTAATTCTTTTCCGTTTCAAAAGTGGTCAGAGACTCTATTGAAAGAGTTTTTCTAACATGTGGAAAATTATCTAAAGAAATTTGTATGTAGGTTTCATTTATATTAAAATGTATGAAAAAAATTTGGTGCTTGGAATTTTTAACACAATGTGAGCTTAAGAAAAATTTTAAAAATATAAAATATAATATAAACAAATATAAAACAAATTAAAAAATATATGGAAAAGTTCAAAGAAAACAAAATAAAAAATATAATTTATATAAAAAATATATTACAAAGAATTAAAAGAAAATAAATTGAATGTGCAATATACACATAAATAAAAAATAAAAATATCAATAATAAAATTTTAAAAATTTAAAACAAAAATATATAAAAATAACAGAAAAAAATATATGTATAAAAAATAATATATAATATATTAAAATATTGAAAATAACATATATAAAAATTTAATATTAAAAAAAGTATTTTAAAATATTGAATTTTTGCAATGTTGAAATATTCAACTATTTTATAGAAGTTCTTGTGTTATGTAGTGTAATTCACATATATATTAAATAAATTTTTATGATTTTAGTATATAGTCAAATATATGTATATATACAATACATATTATATATTATAATGCATAATTGTGTTTGATTTTTCACTTAATTATGAAAATTAAAATAAATTTGCTTTGTTAGCAAAAAAGAATTAGTTGGTAATGAAATATTAATTGCAGATGGACCATAAATCAGATAAGTTGACATAAAGAAATTTAATTTAATTTCAAATTAATATTTCCACTAAATTGATATATTGAAATCTTATGCAAAGTTGACGGCGCGTTGCGGAAAGCTAAAGAGCTGTCAGAAGTCAATGTCTGTTCAGGACAATGCATTCGACCAAATGTGGTTTCATATATTGCATCGATTGAATCTGCTTGCTTTAAATTTAAATTTCATTTAATTTTGTCTCACAAACCAGATTTGCAGTAATAAAAGGTGAAGCCGGCATCAATTGTTGAGAATGTCACTTGAATTGTTTTTAGCTGAGGCTCTGATCGAATGCGGAATAATTTCAAATCATTTTCTTAAGAGATTTAAGCAGCAAGATTAATGCAAAATGTATTCAAGCTAAAAACAAACTCAATAGATGTAAAGATTTTTTTTCGAAACCTCGACTTTGGTTCATGTTTCACATTTGAAGTCATTCTAAAAAATTAATTCTTTTTTTTTGTCATTGCATAGAGCTCTGCTTGTCACAATAATTAAACAATAAAATTCAGCTACCTGATAACCTCAACCTCAACATATATCCCATATCGAGCCAGAGTAATTCACATCATAATAATTTATAAAGCAACAATAGTCAATTTTAATTGCAATAAATAATTGCAGCTGCATTTGGCAGGCGAATAGAAAATGTTTCTAAATCATAGTCACGCTGGTCGCAAATCAAAAACAGACAAAGAGCTTGCATCATTTAAAGCTGGATAAATAATTGAATCGCATGGCTAAAAATCTGTAAATGCAATGCCAGTGGGCTGGGAGCATAATAAAGAGCAATTGGTAAGGCTGTGGTGTTAATATTATTTGATGTTAATTAAAATATGGTTAACAGCTAATGGCAAATGCAAATTTGACTTTTGTCCCGATGCAGTCAGCTATTCGACCTCGTTATAACAGCCAGCAGTAGCAGCAGCAGCAACCGTTGACCACATGGCTTTCAACAATTGTGGCTGCCACCAGCTACTGCCCAGCCCAGCTCTCTATCAACACTTTTGTGAAATTCAGCATTTTTGAAAAGTTGCCATAAGTCTGAAACGGGGTAAAATGGCTTTTTCATGAACTGTGAGTAGACATCTCTATTTATCTATCTATGATTTATATATGTACTTAATCGGAACAGTGTGATGACGTTTCTAAGCCTGCCCATTCAGTTTCTCTCTCTCCTCCTCACTCTATATTTCCCAGCTGTGATCGTACAAGAATTGAATGCAGATTATACTAAATTCTGATTTTATAGTTTGGTATTTATAACTATATCAAGTGACTTTACTGAAGTATTGTAATAAAACTTCGATTTTACATAGAAAATATACTAAATATTTATTTTTCGCTTAGAAAGTGTGTTAGACTTTGGTATACTTTCTATGCTGAAACGTAAATGAAAGAGCTAGAAAACTGCATCTCAGCACATACTCTCTATCAGTTTATAGGGCACATAATCTTCGGCTTTCTCCTATAATCATATTTTTTTTTTGCTCTTCTTTTCCCCTATTCAAAATGTGAACGCACGAGTTGTTGCCTTTGACGTTAATTTGTCAGCTCAGCGCTGCAGCGCGTATGTGAAATGCGAGCCTGCAAATAGCACAACAAGGTATACACAGAGTGTGTGTGTGCGTGTATGTGTGTGCGTGTATGTATGTGAGTTTCATTTATGCCGCATACGCTACGCTGAATCTTTTAACTCCAACTGCTAACCACTGACCGTAACTACGTTTAAACTTTTCGCTTTTGGCCTTTTAGCATACGCTTTTAGCCAATTCTATGGCAAATGCTTAACCAAAATGCCCAAAATTACAACTGTTAGCTATTAAATGGCCAGATATGACCATCAACAGACAAACTATAATGAAAGATAATTATCTGTATTAAGCGCCATTTCAAACGTTGAAGATTTTTAGCTTCAATTTCTGGCAAAATGCAGCTCTATATGAATAGAACTTTAAATACAAATTTAAGTTAATAATTGATTTATTGATATATTAAGACAGATACATTTAAGTATATAGAGCTGTGGTGTAGTCCGAGGTATAAACAAACTCATCTCAGTTCTTTGACAATTGCTTTAAGGTGGACCTTTTCATGATTCCAGATGCCTATGGGAGACACTTGAATAATCAAAAAAAAAGTTAATATAAAAATTTCAAATTTAATATAAATAATTTATTTTTATCTTATAAAACAGTAGAAAAGAAGCTAAGAAAAATTAAAAAATATAAAGAATAGAATTACAAATAAAAAGTTACATCTATAAAATTTGATATTATTTAAATAAATGAAATACAAAATCAGAGAGATCAGACCGTCAGTCAATCACTCTTGATATACGTCCGTGCGGCTGGGCTTATTAGGCTTTAAACGTAACTGCAGCCAACCTATCAACCTTTCGGCCTTTCGGCCTCTGCCTTTACCTTTGTGGGGGCGTGGCCGGAACAAACATTTGCACACAGCTCAGGCACGTTGTGTTTTTTTACTACATGTGTACTTTTGTGATTACATGAATTTTTAAAATGCGCGCACTCTCCCACACACACACTCACACGGAGTGGGCGTGGGCTGACATGAGAACTACATTAAAATAATTTATTTTAACGCATTTTTTTGTCATAACCCGATGGGAAAAAAAGCTCATTTCCTTTAATGATTTCATCTTGTACGCATGCTGTTTGGCCCGGTTTCTCTGGCTCTGGCTCTGGCTCTGTACTGGCCCGGCCTGGTTGTCTGCTCTCCACTGCTGAGTTCTGTTCGGCTTGTTGGCCTTGTTGTTGTTGTTGTCTGCTTGTTGTTCTTTGGGGCCAAAACGAGTGCAACGGCGTATGGCACGCACACAGGACGCATGGTTATTTCATTAAAATGGCCTTTTGTTGTTTGTAAATGTTGCTTATTATTAACGCTGCTATATCGCGTCCCTTTGAATAAGTATCTGTGTGCTGGAGCTGTAGCTGTAGCTGTAGCTGTAGCTGGTGCTGTAGCTGGAACTGTAGCTGTAGCTGTATCTGACAGCTACTGCATTTTTATGGCGCAAGACACAACATTTGCATTACCAGCCAGACAGCGGGACAGACAGATGGACAAACCGGGCAGCTACTGCTGCCTCTGCTGCTGCTTAATAAAGACTAATTGACTTTTGCGTAGCTTGAAGTACTACGGCAACTGGGACCCATCACAGATTGCCAATTATAACAAACAAAGGCTCAACGCATCAGCAGACTCGATAAACGAATTAACATTTAAATTAAGGCATATCAAATTGTTGTCCTGTTGTTGTTCTCTTGTTGTTGTTGCTGCTGAAATGTTTACACTGCATTTGTCAATCGCGCCAACAGCAAACTCGAGACAACTTACCAGCCAACACGAGCTGCCAGGCAACATCCGACTTGCATATCGCTTGCCATTGAAATTCATGCTAATTAATGCGTTAACTTTGGTGTCTGCATATGTAAATAGTTAGTTGCATTTAATTAGCCCAACTGCCCGTTGTCAATGCCTTGCAGCCGACCCAAGCTTAGCGTTTAATTCTCAGGTATTCTCTGCGACATCTGTGCAAATTGCACAATTTACATGTTAAATATTTAACTGCTTGTACTTTTCTCATAAGTAAAGTGTTAACACTGACTTTTAAATGTAATTTCCACTCAGCTTGTTGTGGTTTGAGTTTGTCTTTTCACATAAGATGACTGTAGAACGTTTGAGCTCTACGGCTTTTAATGTTTGGGCAATGTGTCGATCATTTATCAGTCATGCAATCCATCAGTCAGCCCATCCAATCACTTAGAAACTTCTTTAATTAGTCAATTAGTCAGTCTATCAATCAGGCCATGTGTTCATGCATTCCTTCACTTAGTGAGTTCATTCAATCACTTCTTCAATCAGCTTTTCAATCAGTTAACTATTGATTCTTTCAATCATTTCATATCTTGCTAATCAATCAGTTAATAAGTACATTAGTTGGTTAGTCAATCAGTCAGTCATTCAATCAATTAGTTAGTCAATCAGTCATTTTTTCCATACGCCTTTAAGTGAATTAATTATACAATACATCAATCAATAGTTTCCTCAGTAAGTCTCCCATTAATGAATGAGTCCATCATTCAATCTGTCTGTTTCTCTGCCAAGCAGTTAAGCAATCTTTCAATCAATCAATATTGAATTTGTAATATACAGCAAATTAGTAAGCTCTATCAATCAATGCCCATCTACTACAAGATTGCCCCATGATTGACGGTTGATTGTATTGATTGAGCAGACAATTAGTTGAGCATAAACTAAGAGCTTAGCTGAATCACATCTTATACAATATATAATTCCAAAGTCAATTAAGCCATGCATAGCTATCGCCAGAGAAGGGACGGAGGGAGAGAGCCACCTCAGTTTAATTTCAATTGTAGAGTTTATCTCAATGCTGAATGGCAGCGAAGCTCACATAGCCAAAAGTCTTCCATTATATTTATGGCCACAGTAATGCTGATAATAATAATGCAATTTAGACGCGAAAGCACATGGAATAATTAGACCCCAGAGTATTGACGTAACTAATGAATATAGCTATAAACTTAATAATGCTAATGCTAATGATGATGATGATGATGATGTGGATGCTGATGCTGCTAATGCTGATGTTAATGTTGAAGCTTAAGGCATATCTGAGTGGGCAACCGGACTAAGGTGGAGCAGAGCACAGCCTTTTGATGCTGATTGAGCCATAATAATAATAATGATAATGATGATAATGAAGCTGTTAATCATCATGATTCTGTGGCAGTTCAAGCCACTTTGACACACTCAAGCATAACTGTGCCTTTCAATGATGATTGAAACTTACGTAAAAATATTACGTATACGCCATGTTGAGCGGGAAAATTGTCGTTAGTCATTATTGTTGCTAGTTGCATATTAAGTTGCACCATAGCCGCATTAAGTGCATTCTTTAATTCCCGAGTTTATTTGTTAATTGCATTTGGCGAACGGAGCTTAAAATGTTGCGACACAAATATGTTAACGTAATATTTAAAATGCGTATAACAAGCAAATGGAATTATTCTGTATGGCCGAAGAGCTCTTAAGTAAATTACAATATATTTTGTATTAAATTACAATCAGGCCGCGCCCCCTCCCCGCGCTTGGCTGCTATCATTAATTTAATTACAATTTAAATTCAAAATAAACGGGATTTTAGGTAATGCGACGGCATTCAAAGCCAGCCAGCAATTGAATGTGGCATTTAAAATGGCATTAATAATGCATCAACACCTGGAATGCACGAGCAGCCACAAAAAATCAATGCACATTAATGTGGGCGACGGTGAAGATACCGTGTAAAAAGTTGTGTGTGCAGAAAACGAGATGAATATGAATATTAGGTGAATATTTTGATAAAGGATATGTGCTGGGAAGGATATGAAGAGAAAAAGGGACATTTTTGGTTTTACAGAGTATATGAAATTCAGTGTGAAGTTACCCTGTAGAGATTCCTGGATATAAAAAAAAATGAATATGAAAACTTTCATAAAGAACATGTGCTTGCTGAAACCCTCTACACTCTACACCCCCGCTTACAGGGTATATAAAACTCAGTAATAAAAGACTGTCAAGTGCTGTAGGTGAATGTGAAAATATCCTGTAAAGCAATTACCACTACCTCAAGCAAAGACCACATAGTGCTACCTTTAAACATTGACGCTGCAAACACCCATTACTTAACCAACTACAGGGTATTTACCTATATATGTGAAAGCACACAAAAACTATTGATAAATAATGAAAGCTGAAATGAAAACAGAACCAACTACATTTGAGCACACTTTTGCGTAAAAACTGACCTCAGCCACGCCCATAAATCAAATGCCAACTGCACGATAAATTTTTTGCTTGTTAATAATATTTATTGTTTTCATGCAAAGTACGCATACAATTAGCTCGTGTAAACAGGTGCGTCCCCGCCATAAATACATATATCGAGTATTCATTGAGACAAATTTCGAATTGAAATGGAATTGGAAATAAAATGTAAAGCGCACAAAGAAAAGCAATAGAAAAACGAAGCAGAAATAGAATAATGTATTTACAATTACAAAAAAAAAAGAGAAAATGTGCCGCAAATAACCTGCAAGAGCTGCCATGATTGTTTCATTATTCCACATAATTAGTTGGCAGCTGCGAGAGAAGCAGAGTGAGAGAGAGAGAGGGAGAGATGAG